GTCAGGGTTGCTCGAAAGCATAGCAAAGCAGGGCAGGGCAGGGCAGCCAAGTCGCCGAAGTCCCAACATGTAGAGCTTTGCGGCTCAGGGTTTGGGGTCTCCTCAATTTGACTAGAATTCGCACAGCGTGTTGAAAACCAACGGCATAGAGCCTGTGAGCCTTTCGGTCTAAACCTCCAGCCGTGACTCAAGCCCCAAACTGCAAACCTGTGCACCCGTAGCTCTAGCTTGTTTCTGGCGTTGAAGCCCTATAATACCGCTCCTTTACCTCAAACTCGCTTGCCCGCCCCAGCGCAAGATTCTTGGGATCGGAAGTCTTGTCGGGTTGCCCTTAGTCTTGCTGCCGCAAGTGCGTGTTTGGTACGACCACCCTGCCCCATGCCCTAATTCCGGGATGGAGGGATCACAGGGGGAAGAGCTTCTGTTTCTGAGAAGTTTTCCGTAGGCCGGAGTGCACCCTCACTCACTCACTCACTCACTCACTCACTCATACTGCCCCGTCACAGTTTACATGTGTAGGCTAAGGTTTTGGGCAGGGTTGAGTGTTTAGGGTTGAAGGATTCGGCAGCAAGGCTTGTTTACCTGAAGGGGGAAGGCGAGCCCCAGTTGAATGTTCATAATGCGAAGGAGGTATCTTTTTCTTGCCATGGGGGGCATGCGCTTGAATCCGAGCTTCTTAAAAACTTTCCTGATCCTGGCAGCTCGCAGCGCTGCCCGCTGCTCAATGCCTGAAGCTGAGCGCACCCTACCTTGCTTTGAAACCTTACGCCGTAGCCAGCGGCGATACTCGCAGCACAGGTGCTGGGTATGCCTCGCCTTCCACCCTCTTGGGATTACCATTTTCAGGTACCTTCCCAGGGGCGGGGCCTCTAGCTTAGGCTTCAAGTAGGAATGCAGGGCCGTCAGCATCTCTGCGTCGGTCTTCGACCCCTTGTGCTCGAGGGCCTCCTTCAGGATCGGCCTTGCCCCAGCACCGACGCAGTAAGAATCTTCCTGCAACGTGCCGGATTGCGAAGACAGAACCATGTTCAAGCTGTTCCAAGCACTTATTAGTCAGAAAGAAAAAAAGGGATCTGAAGTCAGGCCAAGATTCCTGGCCTTTGCCATGAGACAGCCAGATGTCGTGCAGGATGAGCTTGCGTATGAACCTAGGTGCCCCAGTAGCCCCTTAATCATAAGGGTACCCTTTTTCCCAATGTTTGGCTTTAATAGGCGAACCCAAAAAGAAAAAGGGCAAAAGGGTACTACTGGGGAACGTAGGAACGGGGAGTGCACCTCCAAGATCTCACGCAAAGTCTCGTCAGTGATTCCTGCTTTGGCCGCCTTCTCCCAAGCTCCATCCCAGGTCAGCTTGGCAAAAGCATGCGCCGCCAGTGCGAGCAATTTTTTGCCCTTGAACTCCATCTTTTTTCTCACGCAATAAGCTTGCCATTGTTGGAGACGCATCCTTGGGATGGAGCTGTCCAGCCGAACCTTCTGGAAAATTGCCTTCCAGGGCTGCGGCTTGCCTTTGTCAAGGCACCAGTGTGCCGCATCGAGGTCGCGCAACCCATCCGCATAGTTTGCCACCAGCCGCGTTACCCAACTCATGGCTAGGGCACGGGCTAAAGGCAGGCCAACACATGCACACAGGAGCGCCAGGGAAGTTGAGTCCAGGTCTGGGTCAAGCTCGCAGTGCAGGTGCCGGGGCCACGAGGCATCTGACATGATGGGGTTACCAGCCACAGCTGATGCACAGGCCTCGGCCACTGCATCTCCTGCAAGTTTCGCCAACGAGCAGGTCAGCAGCGCCTCTGCCATGTGCAGTAGCCCATGGCGCGTCCGAAGACAGGTGCGGCCGCCCACCCCGGACTTACCGGGTTTTCCACTTTTCCCACTCGTGCCGCTTTTTCCGGGCTTGCCCGATTTCCCGGATTTGCCCGATTTCCCGGGTTTGCCCGGTTTGCCGGGCTTCCCAGGCCTCCCCATGAGGCACAGGGATGACGACTTCACTCTAAACGTAAGCAAACGGCTGAGGCTTCGTCACGTCAAGACTGTCAAGCCAGCACTAATCAACACACATCAACCGCCCAAAATCCAGCAGCTTCAAGCTCGCTCTTGCGTTTCAGACTTTTGGGCTTTTGCTTGCTTGAAATTCAAGCTGCCCCCCCTTCCCCCTCCATCCCTGAACCAGACAGGCCCTCTTCTAAACAAAAACTTCCTGCATATGGCACCGAAATCTAGGACGTCAGCGTTCTTTCTTGTATTTTGTGGCAGAACTCGGTGAAACCGGAGGTTCCTTTCACCCACCCGCTGTGATGATACCACAAGCAACCACCCAAACCATTTCCTGTTAGGGTTTACGGCTTACGCCCTCAGTTCCCACATCATGTCATACGAAGAGCAGGCTCCGGGCTTAGGACCTTAAACCACAAGGCCTAAAACACCTCAGGCCCAACCCCTTGGCAGGCCTTGCCCGCGTGGGCGCTGCAGTGGCCGCCGAAGCAGCACCTGCTGCTGATAACCCTAAAACCCTAAACTTGGCCCTAAACCCTAAACCCTAAACCTTAAACCTAAACCCTAAACCTATAAACCTTACCCAAAGGCTCCATGTACCGATATAGTAGATTCTTAGGTCCTAAAGGGGTTCCTATATAGGTACTTTAGGGTCTAGGTATATACTATATGGGTACATGGAGCCTTTGGGTTAAAACCCTGAATCCTAACCCAAAAGCTGTTTTCTACTTTCCTCACCGCCAATCTTGACGAGCAGTATGCCCTTCAAGTCTCCCCCCCTCCCAGAGCCACACCCACCAACCAACCAACCAACCAACCACTAAACATCAGCAAGTAATTCTAATGGCAGCGCAAACACATGTTGCTACCGGTACTTAGAATGCGAAAGGCCCAACTTCTGGATCGCAAAACAACGGCACCACATGTCTGCAAGGGTACGCTTGGCCGAGATGCATTCCCAACTGCTCTTTCCGGAAGCCCAGCTGGCTCGTCCACCTACAAAGCCAATGGCCAATAAGTTTGCCTAAGACATGTGCTTAAAGCCATGGTTACTACGCACACTGCGCAGGAGTAAAGCCCGGCAAAGCTCAAGAACGCCCATCCTTAGCCCATCGTTCCTGAACCAT